GTTTACTAACATTTCTTAACGCTATTAGGATCTCTGAGGACTAGCTTACTAACTCTACTAGGATCTACTTCATTGGCATTTATAATTACCAATTGACTTTTTTCTAGTATTCCAAGCTCGGATTAGTTCTGAGAGTACTAACTTACTAACCTTAATAGCATCTGCAATTACTGATTTACGAATGCTAGTACAATCCAGCGATACTAGCTTACTAATCCTACAAGCACCTACAATTACTGACTTACGAACTCGAACTCGACCTCGAACTCGGACTAGTGTACTAATCCACAGACCCTATCTAACAAAACTATTTCTATTACTACTACTACTACTACTACTACTACCACTAAAAAAAAAAAAACGTGAAGCCATCCCCTAACTTCCCTAACACAACAGACTCCACGAAAAGATCCCTCACGGCCTCTTAAGCACGTGACTCCAGGCTTAAGACCTACTTGACGAAGTTCCAGACGAGGTGAGTGCTCCAGGGGTTCGAAGCCACGCTCTGTAGCACGGAGAAGTAGTCTTGGCCGCGGACGACGCTCTCGTTCTTCGCCTCCATTATCCACCTGCGGACGAGGATAAAGGGGATAGATGGATAAATAGATAAATAGATAGATCAACTCTTGTTCTTTGTTTGAATTGGCCAATATTAGCCACAAGGATAGATGGATAGATAAATAGATAAACTCTCGTTTATTGCTTAAATTAGCCCTCTGATAGAGAGATGGATGTATAGGTGTATGTTGAGATAGAAAGATAGGTAGATGGGGAGAGATAGACAGATAGGGAGGGAAGGAAGGAGGGAGGGAGATAAGTAAATATATGGATAGATAGGGAGAGAGGAGGGAGCGGAAGAGAGAGAGAGAGAGAGAGGGAGGGGGGAGGGGGAGAATGTGTGTATTTATATGTGCGTGTGTGTGTGTGTGTGTGTGTAAAATGAAGATATTTACAATTTTGATGCATGATAAACTTTAGGTCTCACACCTCCCTCATCCCTCCCTCCCTCCCTCCTTCCCTCCTTCCCTCCCTCAACTCACCTCTGTATAATCCAGTCTTCCTTGCAGCTGGAGAGACCCGAGGATAACTTCGATTTCTCTTGAGCGTTGACTTCGGCCACGTAGCGCTCGAGGACGGTTTCCCACGTCTCGTAGTCTGTCGAGGAGGAGGTCGAAGGGGGAGGGGTGATATCGAAGTCGAGGAGGAGGTCGAAGGGGGTGGGAGTGAGATCGAGGTCGAGGGGGAGGTTGAAGGGGGAGGGGGGTTGAGATCGAGGTCGAGGGGAAGGTCGGGAGGGAGGGGTTGAGGGTAAGGGGGGTGAGGGGGGGGTGAGATCGAGGCCGAGGGGGAGGTCGAAGGGGAGGTTTGAGGGTAAGGTGGAGTGTGAGGTTGAAGTTGGAGGTGGAAGTTAAGGTGGAATTCGACGTGATGGTTAAGGTTACGGTCGAGGACGAGGTGGAGGTCGAGGAGGAGGTCGTCGAGGCCCAAGACATTGAGGCCCAAGGTCGAGGAGAACATCGAGGCCGAGGTCGAAGCGCAGGTCGTGGAAAGAAAGATAAAAAGGAGAGAAAATTATATATCATAAATATCTCTAAAGAAAAAGGACACTATGGCAAACCGGTTCAGAAATTTCCATAACAAGTAAGAAAAATCATATAAATTATGTTTCCTTCTTTATGGTGATGACTTATCGGTTTTTATCTGTAAATTCTCTCTCTCTCTCTCTCTCTCTCTCTCTCTCTCTCTCTCTCTCTCTCTCTCTCTCTCTCTCTCTCTCTCTCTCTCTCTCTCTCTCTCTCTCTCTCTCTCTCTCTCTTGCTCTGTCTTCTCTCTCTCTCGCTCTGTCTTCTCTCTCTCTCGCTCTGTCTTCTCTCTCTCTTTCTCTCTCTCTCTCTCTCTCTCTCTCTCTCTCTCTCTCTCTCTCTCTCTCTCTCTCTCTCTCTCTCTCTCTCTCTCTCTCTCTCTCTCTCTCTCTCTTGCTCTGTCTTCTCTCTCTCTCTCTCTCTCTCTCTCTCTCTCTCTCTCTTCTCTCTCTCTCTCTCTCTCTCTCTCTCTCTCTCTCTCTCTCTCTCCTTCTTTCCCTCCTTCTTTCTCGCACCGGCCATGCATGACCTGTAACTGACCTGCCTCCCTCTCCCTTCCTCCCTCCCTCCCTCTCCCTCCCTCTCCCTCCCTCCCTCCCTCACTCCCTCCCTCCCTGTTCCTCCCTCACTCTATCTTCCTCCCTTCCTGTCTCTCCCTCCCTCCCTCCCTCTCCCTCCCTCCCTCTTCCTCCCTCCCTCTCCCTCCTTCCCTCCCTCCTTTCCCTCGCTTCCTCTCCCTCTCCCTCCCTCCCTCCCTCTTCCTCCCTCCCTCTCCCTCTCCCTCCCTCCCTCTCCCTCTCCCTCCCTCCCTCTCCCTCTCCCTCCCTCCCTCTCCCTCTCCCTCCCTCCCTCTCCCTCTCCCTCCCTCCCTCTCCCTCTCCCTCCCTCCCTCTCCCTCTCTCTATACCCTAAACCCAAGAAATTTTTCTCTCTCACCGGTCACGTATGACCTGTAACTGACCTGCCTTCTGCATGCCGTACTGGTAGACGAGCAGGCGGGTATTCGGCGGGATGAATGTACTCGGGTCCTCCACCCACGCCATGAGCCGGTCGTGGGCGCCCTCGAGACAGGGTTCGTAGCCGTTGGAGCAAGCCAGGGCCATGAGGTTCAGGCGGTTGCGTCTGGAATGGGGAGGTTGGGTTAGATTTGTGGGGGGGGGGGGTGAAGGGGGGGAGAAGAGAATTGTGGGGGAGTTGTGGGAGAGGGGTGCATATTTTGTCACTCAGAATTTGAAAAAGACAAAAAGTCATTAACTGCTCCTACTGCCTTCCTGTCGCCTCCTTACTGCCCTCCCCACCCCCCCCCCCATCCCCCAAGGTCTTTCCAGTTCCCATAGAGAGATGGTACCGCCCACTTTGAAAACCAGTAATCCAGAGGGAAAATTTTTTTATATATATCAAGACAAGACCGCATAAAATGAAGCCTAATCGTATAAAAAAAAATCACATAACAAAGAATTATATAAATCTAAAGAAAAAACAACAAAATAAAAAGAATTTATATGATTATTTTATATACATTCTCCTTCAGCAGAACGTCGACTTCCTACGTACCTTTCAAGATGGCTGCCGGTGTCATTCCAGCCGAGTCGCTGCACGTGGTCGCTCACGAGGTTAACTACGTATTTCTGCAGAGGAATAATAGTTTTATGAAAGGATGTTTGGGTAGATATGAAAAAGAACAAAAAAAAAAGAAAATCTCTCTCTTTTTATTTTTAGTTTGTTTTCTCTTTTTCTCAAATTTTCAATCTTTTTTATTTTCTTTTTAGTATCTTTTTCTAGTTTTTAGTTTCCAACTTCGGAATCAAATATTCTCCTCTTCCTTCTGTTTCCCCTTTCATCTCTTCCCAAGGACAGCCATCCTTTTCTCTCTCTTTCCTTCTTCTCTTCTTTTTTTTCTTCTCTTTCTTCTTTTAATTCTCTTCCTCCTCTCCTTCCCACTCCCTTCCCCATTCCTCCTTTTCTCCCCAACTTTGCTCCTTCCCTCCTCCCCTTATTTCTATCCATAACCTACTTAAAGACTTTCCTCCTCCTCCTCCTCCTCCTTCCCCTCTTCCTTCACTTCCTCCTCCTCCTCCTTCCCCTCCTCCTCCACTTCCTCCTCCTCCTCCTCCCTCCCTTCTTAACCGTCTTCCTCTTCTTCCTCCTCCTCCTCTTCCTTCTCCTCCTCCCCTTCTTCTTCTTCTTCCTCCTCCTCCTCCTCCTCTTCTTCCTCTTCCTCCTCCTCCCTCCCTTCTTAACCGTCTTCCTCTTCTTAATCCTCATCCTCTCTTCCTCTTCCTTTTACCCCTTCCCCCTCTAAACTCCCTTCTTACCATCCCTCCCTACCCTCCCTCTTACCCATATCCCTCCCTACCCCTTTCTTACCCACCTCCCTCCCTACCCTCCCTCTTACCCCCTCCCCCCCTCTGAACTCACCCTGAAGAACGGATACGCCTTCGTCTGCCTCAACAACCTCCCGAGCGTACTCAGTTGCACCGTCACCGTCTTCCAGGGTATATAGTGTGTCTCGCGCTTCATGTAAGCCACGAGGGACAGCACCGTCGGGTAGGGCAACTTCCCTGCGTCGGCGAGGCTGAAGGCGTCGTTCAGGAGGCTGGATCGGTCCGTTGGGCTTAGTACCTGAAGGAGAGGTGAAGGTATTGGTACTGATAATGATGTTTGTTTAGCTAATATGTATTAAAGACAGTTTGGCATACACTGGTAAATAAAGAATGGCTGAGCCTCCTGAGAACACAAGCTCTCTTAAGGAGGCACCTCATTATAATGGAATTAAAGTTTTGCATTTTTAGATGGTAACAGTAAAGATAAAAGTATATTATATAGTATATATCACAAACATGTTGTAATAAATGATAATATTGTTCATAAAAAAGGTTGGTAGGTGAAAGTGAGGGTCGTAGATGAAGGTGAGGTTGCGTTAGCTAAGGTCAGGTTGGCTGGTAGGCGAAGGAGAGGTTGGTGGGTGAAAGTGAGGCTGGAAGGTGAAGATGAGGGTCGTAGGTAAAAGGTGAGGGTCAAAGGTGAAGGTGAGGGTCGTAGATGAAGGTGAGGCTGGCTGGTAGATGAAAGTGAGGTTGGTGGGTAAATAGGTGAGGTTGGTAGGTGACGGTGGGTTAAGGTAAGTAGGTTGAGAGCGTTGTGAGGCTCGTAGGTGAAGGTGAGCTGAGATAAATAGGTGAGGGCGTAGTATGTCGAAAAAAAAGAAAACTCTTTACTACTCACCTCATGGTCGTTCAAGAGGAGATCGATGAGGTCCTGCCACATAGACGCCTCATAGTTGACTCTGTAGTAACCGAACTGACCCACATTTAGCTTAACCCATGAAGTTCCCGACGGGATGTTGATGGTCACTGAAAACATGGAGATTATTAACTTTACCCTCAAAGAATATTTTAACCCATTGCCGCCGGGGAAAATGAATAAAAAATGGGGAAGATATTGTGCTCATTTTTTTTATTTTTTTTGTGAAATGTCTCTACACATAGATGGCTCTGCCTTACCTGATTTCACCTTTCCTTGAATTGGCGGGAAAATGTATTTTTTACTAGTGCTATGAATATTGATGGTGTTATTTTTATTATAAACATTATAAATACTAAAATGTTACAAACATTACTAATAGCGTAAGATATTGTAAAATATTTTCGTAAATTAAAGAAAAGGGTAAACGGGCGAGACAGACTGTACTTATAATTGGCTCATTGGTGATTTAGGACAAGTGTAGCCATCTATGTGTAAAAGCAATTAAACATGTAAACTCACAGTGGGCATGGCATGGACGTACGTGACATGCCCATCGTGAACGGGTTAAGAAGCATTCGTCAAGGCACAAACATCAGTCTTAAAGGAAATTTGGAGAAACACTTGCCAAAAACTGAAAAAATATTTACCATAGGAATGGGATCACAAAGATCTTGGTATCCCTAAGGTATGGCAATTTTTTTTCTTTTATATGTTCTTTGCAATTAGCTCGCCTGTATTCGTGCTGTTTTCTTTACTGCAATTAACATATATTCCTTTTTACATAGTAATGTTTTGTAGGAGACTAATCCATGTTCTAAAAATATCTTTAAGTACATAAACACAAATACACTGATGACACTAAAATATCTATAGTAGAATTATGATAATTAAACTATACTATAATAGGAAGATGATAGTGTATGACGATATAATGCGATGAAATATGATTAATTTTGTTTTATTGAAATACTGTTATTAATGTCGTATAATAATAGCATCACATAATAACTGTATTCGACTGACGTTCATGTAGGTGATTACGTTAATAAGGTAATGATAATAATGATAGTAATAACAATAATACTAATGAGGAAGAGTATTCCTTCTCTCTTTTTTATGTTTTCTTCATTTTTTTTCTTTATCCTTCCTCCCTTCACTCACCTTACTCCATCTCCTTCCATCCCCTTTCCATCTCTCACCTCCCTCCTCCCATCCTCCTTCTTCCTTCACTCACCTTTCTCCAATTCTCACCTCCCTCCTTCCTCCTCCCTCCTTTCTCCCTACTTCTCTCCATCCTCCTCCCTTCACTCACTTTTCTTCATCTCTCCTCTCCTTCTTTCCTTCCTTCCTTCCTCCTCCCTCCTCCCTCCTCCCTCCTCACTCCACTCACATTTCCTCCTCCTTCCTCCTCCTTCCTCCTCCTTCCTCCCTCCTTCCTTCCTCCTTCCTCCCTCCTTCCTCCCTCCTTCCTCCTCCTTCCTCCCTCCTTCCTCCCTCCTTCCTCCCTCCTTCCATCCTCCTTCCTCCCTCCTTCCTTCCTCCTTCCTCCCTCCTTCCTCCGTCCTTCCTCCCTCCTTCCTCCCTCCTTCCTCCCTCCTTCCTCCCTCCTTCCTTCCTCCTTCCTCCCTCCTTCCTCCCTCCTTCCTCCCTCCTTCCTCCCTCCTTCCTCCCTCCTTCCTTCCTCCTTCCTCCCTCCTTCCTCCCTCCTTCCTCCCTCCTTCCTTCCTCCTTCCTCCCTCCTTCCTCCCTCCTTCCTCCCTCCTTCCTCCCTCCTTCCTTCCTCCTTCCTCCCTCCTTCCTCCCTCCTTCCTTCCTCCTTCCTCCCTCCTTCCTCCCTCCACTCACCTTTCTCCATCTCCTTCTCGAACCAGTCCTGTTCCCTCGGCGACTTCCTCCCTCCTTCCTCCCTCCCTCCCTCCTTCCTCCTTCCTCGTTCCTTCCTTCTTCCTTCCTCCTTCCTTCCTTTCTCCCTCCACTCACCTTTCTCCATCTCCTTCTCGAACCAGACCTGTTCCCTCGGCGATCTGTCGGTTTTAAAAGTGACGGGGATGTCCCAGCGGTATCCGAAGGGCGAGTCGTCAGCACTGTCGGCCTCGGGATCCGACAGGAACCTCTCCTGACGTACCTCCAACTTCGTCTGCGAATAGGGGGGGGGGAGGGGGCGGGGTGTTAGGACGCTGGTGGTGGTGTTAAGTTCGTCAGTTTTTTTCAGACGGACAGATAGACAGGGTGACCGTTTATGTTTCGTTTTGTTTTGTTTTGTTTTTCTGTAGGTGGGGTTTGTTGTTGTGTGGCTGTTTTTGTACGTCTGTTTCTGTCTATATGTTTATATCTTATGTTCTGTCTTGCTGTCTATCTGATTATCTGTACTTTCCTCCGTTCGTCTTTCTCTTTCAATTTCTATAGCCACTATGCTTCTCTCTCTCTCTCTCTCTCTCTCTCTCTCTCTCTCTCTCTCTCTCTCTCTCTCTCTCTCTCTCTCTCTCTCTGTCTCTCTCTCTTTCTCTCTCTCTCTCTCTCTCTCTCTCTCTCTTCTCGCTCTCTCTGTCTCTCTCTTCTCTCTCTCTCTCTCTCTCTCTCTCTTCTTCTCTCTCTCTGTCTCTCTCTCTCTCTCTCTGTCTCTCTCTCTCTCTTTCTATCTATATATCTATCTATCTCTTTCTCTCTTTCT